GTCTGTTATGCTCCAAACAACTGGGTTATAATAATAACACCTCAGCTATGCTAAGGCACTATCGTGCCTTGCATAGCAATGTGGATTCCAACCCAGGTGAACCTGTCTCGGGTAGGCCATTTTATATCATCATAATAATTGATGATTGTCCTACAATTACACTAAATATATTTTATTTGAATTTATTTGTTCATTAGGTAAATTTCTAACCCTAATGTGCATTTTCTTTCAGCTGAGACGGTTGACTTGACTGAGGCGTTGTTGGATATGGTGATTGAGGATTCCCAGCCCTTTTCCATTATGGAGGGAACTGGCTTCCGAAAGCTTGTGAAAGCTTTGGCACCATCTTATGTTCTTCCCACGCGGCAGGTATTTATGTGAACTATTAACAATTTATTATCCTCAGATCCACTATTTCAAGACTTTACTTTTTTCAGACTTTGAAAGCCATGGTGGAGAAGAGATACAGGGAAGCCAAAGACAAGGCCAAAGTGGTGGTGTCTTCTGCATCTGCTGTTAGTTTAACAGCAGACATGTGGACCTCCATCAACACTGATGCCTATCTTGCAGTGACTGGTCATTTTATTGACGAGAGCACTTCTCTGCAGACTGTTGTCCTTGGGGTGCAGCATTTCCCTGAGGCACATACAGCAGCAAATCTAGCGAGAGTGATGACCTCTCTTATGTCAGAGTGGGGTTTAGCAGGAAAGGTGACAAGTCTGGTGACTGATGGTGCTGCGAATATGGGAGCTTGTGCTCGAGAGCTACATATGCGTCACACAATTTGTGTGGCACACACGCTAAACTTAATGATCAAAAAAGCTCTCGACCAAAGTCCTGAGTTGTGTGACATCAGGACAAACTGTCGTAAGATAGTAGGATACTTTAAGAGCAGCACTACTGCAAAGGTAAGGTCCTTACTTGTAATATGTCAATTATTATTTCTGCTCCTGCACTGTTTTAATTTGTTGACTGTTTTATAGGAGAGACTTACACAGATTCAATCACAAATGGGTCTCTCCGTGCTTAAACTTATTCAAGAGGTGGATACAAGATGGAACAGCACGTACTTAATGCTTCAGTGTCTGTTCAACCTGAGAGAGCCTGTTGGAGCAGCTTTGGCTGGGCTCCGTACAGACATTACACAAATCTCAGCAGAACAATATAACATCATTGCAGACTGTCTGAAGGTGCTCGCTCCATTCTACTATGCCACAATTGAGGTGTCCGAGGAGAAAAGAGTCTCTGGGTCAAAAGTAGTTCCACTTTTGACCATTCTCCATAATGCTCTGGAAGAAGAGGAGATCGGCCATATCCAAACACCTGAGAGCAGAGACATGGCTGAGTATTTGCGAAGACAACTGAGGGACAAGCTCAGCCACCTCCAATCAATGAGCATCATGTCCCTCTCTACCTTGCTTGATCCCAGATTTAAAAAGATTGGATTCTTCAACCCCAATAAGGCAGCAGAAGCTGAAAAAAGATTGATTGGCGAATGTGCTCGAGTTTTGAGACTTTCATTGTCCGCTTCTGCTTCACCATCATCATCATCATCATCATCTGTAGCTGAAGGTAATATGTATACTCTATTTGTGCTAATAAGTCACTTATAACCTGTTTATTCTGTTTTAGGGAGCAAACTGGCAACGTTTTGACACGACATGCCAGCAGACCAAAATCCCAAACATAACTGCCAAGGCTACAGTGGAGGTCCAAACATACCTGGGGGAGCCAAATATTCCTCGACTCGAAAGTCCCCTTCAATATTGGGACAAACATAAGTTTACATTTCCAAATTTATATAAACTTGCCATTACATATTTATGTTCACCTGCATCCTCTGTGCCCTGTGAACGGGTTTTTTCAAAGGCAGGTGAAATACTGTGCAAAAAAGAAATCGCCTGAGTCCAAATACTAAATTATTATTTTTGAATAAAAATGAATAACTATTGTTTGTTTTTCAACTCCTGTCAATAGTTGCATAAGCACTTACATAGACAAAGTAACACAAGCACATTTTACATAACAACTGTCTCCACATCATTGGCTGTATTCTTTCAGCCCATGTTCAGACCCTATTTGTTATAGGCCCTTGGCATGTATTACATTTCTTTGTCCACATGATGGCGTAGTGGAGCATGATTCACCTCGAGCCTTCGACTCATGGGCCGAGTAATAGGCTGCGATCCCTCAAGGCTTCATGGGGCTTCATATTGCCATCACTAATTTACATATAAGTAAATGTACAAAAAGGTCACACGGGTGTGCAGCCGCAGGATCCAGGCCCAAATGGAAGAGAAGAGACTGGTCTGGAGCCAGGCCCTTTTATGCCTCCCAGGTGATTAGCCCACAGGTGCATAGTGAGACGTCAGTGGGAGGGAGGTCTGAGGAGGCGGAGGCAAGGAGAGACAAAAGCAAGGACCTGGTCCGTAACACCTCCCCCCATAAAAATAAACCCCCACCCAGCCAGAAAACATAACATGCCTGCATCTAACAAATCTCCTACCCACACTCAGGGACACTTTGTAAAGTCCACCAAGTAGGAACAGGCATTTCCAATATAATGGAACTCAAGTAGGATAACTTAGAAATAGCCACTGCTGTACTAGCTACTACACATGTAGACAATAAGGATAAATCAGCAAAGTGTGATAAAGTGTGTGGAGATCTGTCAACAGCGTAAACACAGGGAGTCAGAAAAGGCTGAAAAGGATATGGGTGCCATCACCACCTGCGAAATCAGGAGCAAGCACAGAATTACCAACGTCACTCTGCCTCCCTCTTTCAGACTGAGCGTGGGTCAAAACGCTCATGGGACGCACTTTTCCACCTGCACTGTCGCTCCGCATGATGGACTCCACCCCATCAATTGGAGACTGGTCACGAACAGCTACAGGGAAAGCTCCAACTACGTGCGCGGGACTAACGTAAGCACTATGAGCCTTGGGCCATGACTCATAGAACCGCAAAATAGCACCTTTCACACAGTCATAGTCCAAGATGTCTGAGACTGCCAAAGATGCACATGCTTCAGACGCCCTGCCACCTAGGTTGCACTGCAGAAGGATTGCCCACACATCCCTAGGCCAGTGTAATGCCCCTGCAATGCGCTCAAAAACACAAAAATAGGACTCAACCTCCGTCTCACGGAGGGTTGGGACAAGCGGGATATTTTGAGTCACGTCAAACTCGGGCGCACTGACCACAGGTGACGAGGAAACTGGACTGCGACCCGCTGATTGCAACTCCAATTGCCGCATCCTAAGCGCAGCGTCAGCCTCTATCTTTTTAAAGGCCACTTCGCGAGCAGTAACAGCCTCCGCTTCAATACGCTTTAACGCAATCTCACGCTTTAGCTGAAACCCACGCTCCTCCTTCTCCTTCTCGTACTTTAAACGAGCAATGCGCACATCCACGAGCACATCACGGGGAGAACGAACCAGGCTCAGAGACTTCACCTCAGTCTCTTCAAACGGCGCAGAAGGAGAGCCCACCTGTGGCTGCTCCACGCGCTCTACACCAGGACGCACGGGGGACATCACTGTATCTCCCGCCGTCTCCCGTTCAAGTAAATCCATTTTGCCACACAAAGTCAACGCCACTTGCGTTGGTTCAGCCACCAAGGCTTCTAAAACAAATGTAGCCATCACTCACCGGACGAAAGGCAATCACGGATCCTGATACATAGCTGATCCCACTCACAGTTGACCACACCTGCTGCTGCTCTCCACAACGACACGCCTCCTGGGATGTGCCAAGTACGCGCCCGCACACAGCTGCGCTCAAAACTTATGCACACCCACGCACACTCGCACGCGGGTGAAAAGAGGTTATGCAGGGTGCCTTAAGAACAAAACCAAATCAGTGCAAACACAGGTATTGAACCAGACTCCTACTCAGGAAAAACTTAACCTAAATATCTTCTGGGACTTGCCGCGCTCGAGGCGTGCAGCCCCCGTCAGAGAATCCACTCCGCCCAGGATTTGTCCCGAAGATAATAAACTAAAACAAAAAACGGATGCCCGAAGGAATGGCGAATAAATCAACCAAGCTGGACACCCCCCTAGTCTAGCTGGGTCAATTTGGAGCTGACTGCCACTGAATGTCACACGCACCCACACACACGCACACACGACTCACCCAGAGGGCACGACTCCTGGTGCACCCACCGCAGTTCCGCAGTTCCGGACGAGCCCCCACGTATTACGAGCGACTAGGTGTTGAAGTCTAGAAAGTGTGACTCAGTAACACAAAAAGAACCGGGGGTGGAACATAGACAGGAAACAGGGTCTAAAAAGTAACAAGGTTTATTTACATATAAGTAAATGTACAAAAAGGTCACACGGGTGTGCAGCCGCAGGATCCAGGCCCAAGTGGAAGAGAAGAGACTGGTCTGGAGCCAGGCCCTTTTATGCCTCGCAGGTGATTAGCCCACAGGTGCATAGTGAGACGTCAGTGGGAGGGAGGTCTGAGGAGGCGGAGGCAAGGAGAGACAAAAGCAAGGACCTGGTCCGTAACAGGCCGTGTTGATGCAGTCTCTGGAACACTTCCTCCAAGTGCTTCAGGTGGCCATCAAAATCTGGGGAAAAAACTACCACATCACCAATAAATCAGCAACGAGTCGTTCACCAAGCTACCTAAACATCGTTGCATGAGTCTCTGAAATGTGGCTGGCGCATTACATAGCCCAAAGGGCATTAGCTCAAACTCATACAAGCCAAACGGTGTGGTGAATGCAGTCTTTTCTCGGTCAGCTGGGTGCATTTCCACCTGCCAGTAGCCACTTGCTAAGTCGAGGGTCGAATACCATTTAGCTGCCTTTAGTCCTGTAAGGGATTCCTCAATGGGTGGAAGAGGGTAGGCGTCCTTGTGGGTGAGTGCATTTAATCTTCGATAGTCCACACAGAACCTCCAGCTCCCGTCTTTCTTCCTCACCAACACTATTGGAGCAGCCCATGGACTTGAGCTCTCCCGCACCACGCCACTCTCCAACATGCTCTTTAAGAGTCTGTAGCTCCTGGTACAGCGTTGGTGGGACAGGATGGTAGCGTTCTCGGCTCAGGACTGCTAAGGTTGTTGGTATCCGATGCTTCACAATTCATGTGAAACCCAAAGTCTTCATCGTGGTAAGAAAAGACCTCCCTCCATTTCCTCAGGAGTTCATCCAAGCGCTCCTGTTGGTCAGCGGTCTCACCATCACCCGGTAGGTCAAGCACCGGATGGGAAGGGTCCAATTCGTCATCCGTTACCCCCACGCGTCTTACAGCTACCTCGACCACGTCTGGGGAGATCTGGTTCAACACAAATTTTTGTTCTGCCTGCACATCTGTGGCGGCAACCTCTGTCACTCTGGTCAGTGCCTGCCGTTGTGGTAATTCGATTGGGTAGGGGTTGGGATTGCAGACTCTGCAGGGGACTCTACCTGCTTGAACTGTAGCCAGGGTTCAACCTATACACACCATTCTGTGTCATGATCTGCAAAGGGTGCCACAAGAACACAGGGTGATTTTTTTTGTATTTTCAGTTACCTGCATCCATAAAATTTTTGTCTTCGACGGTATGATCACCGGTGGTTGACGCAGCAATTTGGCCAGAGCTTTGTATGGTGGAGCAGGGCCACTGACTGTGACCCGTTGGCAAATGGCAAAGGCTTTCGACCAAGCTTCTCCCTCTGCCGATTGTACGGTGGTTCTAACAGCCAGCAGTCCGGGGTGGCTCCCCTGTGTGAGAGTAGACCAGACAGGCTGAATAATGTTTGTAGGGTCTGTTATAGAAATATTTTAGTGAAGCAACCTGAATTAACACCAAATAGTTATGAGCGTAAGTTATTAACTAATAGTCAACTCTGGATTCAGATACAGGCCATAATGCTCTGTTGGCAGCAGGTCAGTGATAGATGGAGACGTGCTGCATCATGTCTTTGACCTGGGTCATAGAACAATATGTTCAGTTCAAAAGCAGATTGTTACATATATCAGAGTTGTATCAGCGTTAGGACGCGTAAAGAGAAGCCTTGAGCAACACGTATCAATGTTGACTTCATTTATGTAATATCTAGAGTAGATATGTGTTTGTTTACTCTGGTCTATTTAATGTACAGTTATTTCCTCAATCGGGGCAGTCGATTTCGGACGGCTGCCCGGTGGTATTGGTATCGGTTCTGTTATTCATTGTAATTGTGCACATTTACTAATGAATAAACTCACACTTTGTTTGGAATTACAGCTCTGAGTTGTTTACATTATTTTACTCTCGGTATGTGCAGAATTTCCACAACAATTTGGCGTCAACGAACAGTCCCATCGTCTGGAGGGGCTTCGCCGCGGACCCGGCCCAGGAAGGGTGGCCTCCCCAGCCTCTGGCATGGTCTTCTCCTCGCGTGTTTGAGCTACAGAAGTTTCCTGGCGTCGGACCGAGGCGATGACGTCCAGCGCATGGTTATCAAACGGACAAACGTAAACAACCAGTGTGGTAAGAGCTGTATTCTTTCAAACTGTCAAAAGAACCCCGTATTTTATCCGTGCAAAACTAAAAGCCCCATTCCACCCAGCGAAAGGCCTTGGCTGTCCTGTTCTCAGAGCTATGTTTATTCAGATGTATTAACTGGCTTGACTTTGACTTGTGGGGGGAGCTGAGCATAAAAATGGCGACCACGTTATGCTCAGTCTCGGCTCCCTGCTCGCTGGTGTCAGGTAAGGGCTTAACTCTCCCCCACCCTTATTTTAACGTCTGGTTTCTAATGTAATTTAATAATTTTCAGGGCTGGATTACCTGGTGGCAGATTTCCCCTGGTGTAAACAGCATTGAGGAGTAGCCTGCTACTGTTTTTTGTAGGGTTTTGGTTTTGCCTTTAGTTTACTGTTTTGTGTTTTTTTTTTTTTGTCCAGCACTGTTACTGTGAACTTTTAAAAAGGTACCTCAGGTGACAAAGAGTTAATTGTTCCTGTTTATTCAGATGTATTAACTGGCTTGACTTTGACTAGTGAGTTTTAAGGGTTAATTGTTCCTGTTTATTCAGATGTATTAAAGGAGCAGTATGGAATAATCTGGCCAAAAGTGGTGATGCAATCTCTCCCACTCTCCCTGACTCAGGTTGCCAGATATGCAGATGAATCCAGCTGAGAAACTATTATCTTAACAGACAAGAGTTTTGTCAACAACAAATCTACAACCGACACATTTTTCACAGAGGCCCCAATAGTAATCCTTGTTTTTTCCATGTCTTGTCATGTCTTGTCACTTCTTCCTTCCGCCTCCGTCGAGCAAATAAGTGTCCTCAGACCGCTCCTGCTTCTGACTGCTTGCTATCTCTTGTTCTTGTCTTTTTCCTGGAGTTTCATCTTGCTCCTTCCCTCCCCTCCACTCCTCACTGTCTTTCCGGCTCACCCCCTCCCTGACCCTGCCCCCCTCCGATAGCCACATTGGGCCGGCAGTCGGAGGTGCTCATCCCAAGAAAAAAATCTGTTTTATACAAAGCACAATGTGTCTATCCAATTGTCTGTGAAACTGTGTTATTGCTCTTTGCCGTTTCTTGCTTGCACACAGCGCCGCAAATGGCGAAGTGGCACGCTCTCTGCCAAAACAATTTCCAAGTGGTAACTTTGTTACTTACGTGGCAATAAAAATGATTCTGATTCTGATTAATGATTTTTTTCAGTAATGCGGACACATGTTACTTTACCAGTGAGATTAGCACGACACAGTGAGTTCTGGCAACACGGATCACAGACTTTCTGATTGGTAAACGGTGGAAATGGCATTGAAATGAAAACATTAACAAGAAGTAAGGGCTGTAAAACTAATTTTGAACTTCTGTTATCAGGTAAAGAAGTATTCAAAAAGAATGTTTATTAATGCCTTTTGACGGATTAGGGCCATTTAATGATGACTTGACATGAAAATCTTACATATTGCTACTTTAAGATAAGTTATTCCTTACTTTCCCCATAGGGAAATGTGTCCTCTGCATTTGACCTATGCTTTTATCAGGAGCAGTGGTCACCCTATCTCCAGATGTTGATGCTTGGGTTGGTCAGGACCAAAGCTGGAGGATTTTTTGGTGGAGAAACATGAGCATGCTGAGAAATCCTGTGCAGACACAGGGAGAACATGCAATGTCCACTCAGAAAGGCCCTGTTCTGGCCAGGATCCTGGACCTTCTTGCTGAGAAGCGACAGTGCTGTCCACTCAGCTACACGGAAGTAGCACCCCCCCACTCAAATAAATATGTTTGCGGCACCCTTTTTCCAAACTTAGTACTTATTATCAGTATCTTGCAAAATAAATGATCTCCAACGTAATCCTGTCCAGTGGTAATCATAAATATACTGGAATAGTAACAACAAAAACCATAAATATTCAATCATTCCCCGCCCCCCATGACAATAGGTTGCTCCTCCCAACAGAAAGAGACTTCAATTCAATTAAATAATTTATTGCCATTTTCATTAATACAACAAAATTACATTTAGAGCATCACTGTGATCAGCGTATAAAGTGCAGAAGTTGGCAAAATGTAAACAACACAGGGCAGAGGTAGATTAGCAGAGACAGTAACAGGTTGTAAGTGAGTATGTAGCTGCAACAGTGCACAACCAGTTATGGCAAAGTAAAGAGTAATGGGGGACCGGGGAGGTGAGAAGGGGGGCAGTGTTCATTGACCCGTCTGACAGCCTGGGGGTAGAGGCTGTTGGCCATTCTGCTGGTTTGAGCAGGGAGTGACCTGTTCCTCCGGCCCGAGGGCAGCAGGTGGAACAGTCGGTGTGCTGGATGGGAGTGGTCTTTCAATCAATCAATCTCTATAAAGTGCTTTTCATACAATAAAATGCAACACAAAGTGCTTTACAGCTTAGTCAAACTCAAAACACACACACACACACACACAGACATATAAAATCACATCAGATAGGTAAAATAGGTAAAACTATGAAAAGATGTAGGGCTGGGTGCGGATGTATCCAGCTGAAGAAGCGCCATCCAAGGAGCCATCTGCACCAAGAGCAGAGAGCCGCTTGCAACCACAGGGGACGACACATGATGTGATGAGGTTGATTTGATGATGTTGTGACACCGGCGCAGACAGCGGGAGGTGAACACACTGGAGATCTCTGGGAGAGGAACTCCAATGATCTTTCCAGCAGTTTTCACCACCCTCTGGATCGCCTGCTTCTCGGCCCTTGTGCGCTGGAGAACCACACAAGCAGACCATACGTCAGCACACTCTGAATGACAGAGACTTGTGAGTCTTTTGTTTTTAAACTAATTAGACCACATCATGCTGTCATCATCTTGGAAAACATATATTTTGAGTACTTGTAAGAAAGTTCCCCAGAGTCACTATTTGACTCTTTGGGCTGGGAGATCTAGTGATAGAACAAAACAGTTTTCAGCGCAAGAAATTATGAACCCCAGCTTTAAATGAGTGCTCTGCTGCTGCGGGGCTGTGGTTTCTTGTAACGTTAGCACGTTCATGTATTATAAGCTAGAAAAGTTGATGGTTTTACACCGACGGTACAAGAGCACTTATATCCCTTTGTCTAAACTTACATAAACCTGCTTTAACTTTGATCCAAGTGCTGTGTGTTTGAGTAGAGAATTGACGCGCTAAACTTGAGCCTTTCATTATATACGCTTTATTGATGTACAAAAAAGAGGAACAAGATTACTGTGCTCAAAGAGCAGATGAAAGCGGTCAAAAACTGTGTGCTCGCCCAGTCACTCACGCACCTGCACTGGAGAGCCCACCCATTTAACACATCCACAACCACACACCCATGCCACACCCACTATGACGCAACATTCATTCAAAATTGGACATCAGTTTCACTTCACCACAAGCAAATAATGGCTGGAGCACTCCGGCTCCTAATTGTTATTTGACAAAACAATTCACAAATCACAAATCATCATAAACCAGCCATAAGCAATTCATACTCTTATACTGTCTTTAAAAGTTGGCAGTTCATAAAAATACATTTAATGTCCAGCATCTGAACGTTCAGTTCATAATTCATCAAGTTCATCATTATTAAGAGTCTTAAAAAGATAAAAATTCATGTATGTTTAATCAAGTAGTCCTTAGGTGGCAAGTCTTGTGCCACTTGCAACAGGCACAGTTTTGTAATAGGCCTTTCTAAAAAACTAGTCTTTGTCTTCACACGTGCCGATAGAAATAATCCTTGCTCATCCTTGAAGGTTTCTTCAACTCTGTCCAGCAACCAGGAACTGCAGGGGGTGGTGTGGTCTGCAATTAGCACAATGTCTCCGGGACTAAGACTTCTCCTTTCTTTATTCCATTTATGCCTCTCCTGCTGTAATGGAAGATACTCCCATATCCATCTTTTCCAAAAGAATTGCACATACAGTATATTGAGCCCGTTTCCATCTTTTCGAATAACAATCAGTGGCATCAACCAGACCAATGGGCAACACTGGTTTGGCCTTCATGGTTAGCAGATGGTTTGGAGTTAGAGGCTCTAGGTCAAGTGGATCGTCAGACAGTTTTGTTATTGGTCGGCCATTTAAAATAGCTTCTGCCTCACACAACACTGTATGGAAGCCTTCGTCATCCAATGTTTGTTCTCTCAACACTGAGGTAAGTATCCTTTTTGTCATTCCAATGATACGTTCCCAAGCTCTGCTGTGATGTGAGGCTGCAGGTGGATTAAAACTCCACTTAATTCCTTGGTGGAGAAAGGCCTTTTGTATTTTATTATTATCCACAGCAGCAACTGCACCCCTCACTTCCTTCTCAGCACCAGTAAAGTTTGTCCCATTGTCTGATCTCATGTGTACAACTTGGCCCCTTCTGCAGACAAACCTCAAAGCATTGATACACGAGTCTGTCCAGATAGTAAGCAACCTCCAAGTGCACTGCTCGACAAACCATGCATGTGAAGAGTACTCCATGGCGCTTGATCAGGTTCTACGTCATGGTGCTACGTCCCTTAGGACTTTTCTAGTGGGATATCACTCGTGACCCCCAGGTCACACGCCAGAGAGATCAAAATAATTTGCTCCAATCACCAGCCACCCTTCTCTATAAATGCCCCTGCACAAGGCCGCACCCCCTCTTTCACTCTGGCGCCGTTTGAGATCTACCACAGTACTTACTTCATTCTGAGATGTCTTCCTTGTTCGTCCGAGTTCCCTTCGCCCTCCGGCGTCGGACGTCGTCGCTGGATCCAGACGGTGGAGGACTTCACCTCTGTGGGCGCCACCACTCGAGGAAGGAGGAGGATGCAACCCACGTTGTGCCCGCGGATGGACCCGTTCGTCCATTACGCGACACGTGAGTGGCCTAAGCCCCTAGCAGCCAAGAGGCCTGCTCTGGGGTACGACTTGTACTGCAGCGGGCAGGACTGGT